TCATGAAATGCAAATTAAAACCACATGGAGGGGCCGCGCCTTAGCTCAGTTGTTTAAGTGGCAGCTTCAACAAAGCAGTCAGGTTCAGGTTGCTGTAGTTCGATCCCCACAACTCAAGCCAGCCAAACCTGCCCTGAAGGCATTCGGAGCAAAAAAAAAAAAAATCCTACTATATCTGTACAATGGAAAAACATTCTCTCATGCCCTGTGACGGCCTCCTGCAACTCCGCCTCCAGTACTGTGTTGGCTTAAAAGGAACCACAGTAAGTGTATTTACACTCTGAAAGTGGCAAATGTTACCAAGGTCCTGGGTTTTTTCCAGTCCTTGGGAAATCAGTTGTCAAACATTTACCAGAACACCAGTAGTACAGCACGCAACAATCAAGATAGTAAATAATGCTTTCTTCTCTTTGGTTAGAAGGGCTAAAGACAAAACAGTGCCAGGATGAGCTCTAGAGAGCTGGCTTTCCAAAACCCAAAGGTAGGCTTAATAATTCAAGGGCTGGCAGCCCTTGGCCTCTGCAGGCCAAGTGTATGCAGCTCTGCTAGACGCTGCAGCCATGGGCACTGCAGCCACGGGCACTGTAGCCACGGGCACTGCAGCCACGGGCATCAGGGCCACAGGCATGGCAGCATTTCGGTCCCTGGATGTGGCTGGCTCCAGGACTGGTGGTACCCTCCAAAGAATTGGTCAGATTCAAGGCCTGTGGTTTTCCAATGAGTCACTTTAGGAACAATACCTAGCTTGAGGCTGACAAGAGGCTCACTGACAGTGGTGCAATGGGAACAAGGGGACACTAGTGACTTCATCAATCTCCTAGGTCCTTCCAATTGCTCCTCCTTCTTTTCGCTTGGCCTCCCCCAGCCCCCATCTTCCAGGCTGTGCTGTCACCATGAAAGTGCTGGGAACCACCAAATAGCTAATCTCTGTGGTGACACCTTGGGCAAAGGTTGTGGTGGCTTGTGGCACAGAATGAACAACTGCAGTACAGTGTGAAGTTATGGAGATTGCAAAGGAATCCAGGGCTGAGAAACATGCAACAGGTGAGCTTACACCTGTCATCCCCTGACCTGTGGCTGGCTTACCTGGAAACGTCTGGTCGTTGGGGCTAGAGCTGCTGGTCCAGGTGCTTCTGAGCCACTTGGCATGGTCGTACATCCACCCACAGGGCTCCTCGGGGAAATCAAAGTTGCAATTGAATCCTGAAGGGAGCTGCAAATCTTTGTCTAAAGGGGGGAGAAAAATAACCCAAAGGATGGCAAATGAAATGGGGTCCAGAGAGCAGCCACAGTGGTGCTATTTAAATGTCTGGCAAGGCCTGAGTGGAGAGCACAGAAAGAAGTGGCTCCCTTTGGCTTATTCATTTAACTCATCTTGGCGATTGCTGGCTTTCAGGTCAGGCTTTGGTCTCATCCTTCCCAGGCATGAAAGCCAAGCCTGCCAATGGGTTCCCATAGTAAGCAATTATAAATGAGGCCACCAAATGGCTTCAGGCTCTAATCAGCCTCTTCTGTCTACCCCAGAGAGCAGACAAATGTGAAAATTGCGGTTCCCTAAATGCCAGAGAAGAATATCTCCCCAGTGCCTCAGTGGAAGGCTGGCTCCCAAAAATGTACTATCTCATCTCTTGCCAACCTGGCTCTCAGAAGTGATGGCACAGCCCATTAGCATCCAGAGAGGCGGAGAGGCCTGGGAGGTTCTGGCCAGTGAAAACAAAGTGACCTCAGAAACAAGGCAGGCTTGTTTGCGACCCTCACCTCTTTATGACCGTCTCTTATTTCAGAGGATCGAGACAGTAAGACATCTTCCCCCAGGTGGCCAATTCAACATGTCAGGAGCAAGACAAAGAGGCCAAACTGGCAGGCCACCCAGGATAGTGCTCACCAGCCTGAGAAATAATTTTACGTGGTGCTGAGCTCCTCTGAGCAGGGGTCCCAGAGACTGAGAATGTTCCCCTGGAAATCTAAGAAATGAGCAAACAAGGCTTGTCCCATCTGCTTTGGAGGTTCACCTGCTTAAGCTCCAAGACAGAAACAAGAGGGTTTCATCTGGGTCCTTCCCAGCCCTGCATAGGTCCGGTATGAGCTAGGCCAAACTCACTGATTACGTGGAGGTGCACAAAGAGGAAATGAGATCTGCAGGAAAAGCAAATTTGGACTGCTTGCCAGTCATGGTTGTGGAAAGGTGCTGGGCAAACTGGCAGCCGGGAGGAAGTGGGGCCCACCCACTCCCCTTCCCAAGGTTCCCAGAGGAGAATTCCTGAGGGGAAGAAGTTTCAGAATGTGGGTGAAGGTGTCTAAAGGGGAAAACAGACTGTTATAGTTGAACTGCTTACCAAGGGGGCAAAAAGGCTCTCGTGTAGGGGATAGGGTGCTGGGATCTCAGGGGCAGGAGGCAGACTGGCAACAGACCTGCTGTGCCCCCTCCTGGATATTTAACGTTTGCCTACCCTTGGCCAAAGGCAGCCTGCGTTAAGAAACAGATGGAATCTATTACAGAAGCAGCAACCTGTGGCTTGGAAAAGCCAGGCCTTAGCGCTCACATTCCCTTTTCTCTACAATTCCTGAATGTCTATTTTTCTGTTCAAAAATATAAAGTAATTCAATATACCATAATTCTTCCCTAATGTTTACATGCATACCGTTTCTCAGGAACCAAATTCCACAAAAAGATCTTTTGGGAAAAAAAAAGGGGGGGGAGAAGGGTGGAACCATCAAAGAAACCTCAAATCAAACAAACCACTATAAACGGTAAAATTATATTAAAAATAAACTTCGGAAATTTTTTAGCAGAACCCTTAAATTTTCCTTTGGATTGTCATTTAGCTGGAATCCCCAGCCTCATCCGTCCAACAAACTAACTCTTCCAATCTAGTATCACGTATGAACTCCTTGTGCTTTCCAATTTTGGCTCTCAAATTGTCTTAAACATGTCTTAGAAGATTCTCCAAGTTTCCTTCCTCTCTTCATAAAACAAAAGCAAGTTCATTAAAATGTCACAGCGCTGTATTCAACTAACCCTGACCAATAGGGTCCCTCTCCCACACAATACACAAAAGCACATTCTCAAAAAGCATATGCATTAAATTAGCATTTTACAGGCATATGACTTCAGCATGTACCCTTGGCTTTCCTCCCATCCTTGGTAGCCATGTTTTAGAACCACCCACTAGATCCGGGGAGTTCTTCGAGCCCTCCAGTGGTCACCTGTGCAGGTTTCACCTACTGATCCACCCACCTCCACCTTCATGCCCATCTCCTCTCTTCATCAACTTTGCCTCATTTTATTCACTGAACGTTTAATAACAACCAGTAACTCAGTGTAGTAAACCAAAGCTGTCAGACTTCAATCCCAGTCTCAAATGCCCAAGTTCCAAAACTTGTGGTTTTTTGTTAATGTCTCAATACTGGTGACTTGAACAGTACGATTTAAGATGTGACTTACTTTGGGGCCTTGCCAAATATTACTTTTTTATCTAACTTGGAGATACTTAGAAGATAAAGGGAAAAGAGGTTCCCCACATGAAGAGATGATCGCAAAACAAAGATCTCCTCATTTGGGAGGAGGGCAGAGGATGCTGGTATGTCTGAGCTACACTCAGGATCAAAGCATAGGCAGCGTCTTTGCAATACATTACTTAAGTCTTAGTAAAAGACGAAGTTGTGATTAGCTGCAAAATTAACTTCACGCTCACACTCCTTGAGCCAAATCACCCAGGCCAAATCTCCACTACATGGTATGTGGAGACTCAGGCTAAAAGGATAAAGTATCAATACTGTGAATTCTTAGCCTGGGAGTGGCTCTCCTTTACCAGAAGTAAGACAGTGAGGCCTGAGCCCTGAGATGTCTCATAGGAGGTTCTCTTCGGAGACACCCTAAGTCAGCTGCTGAACACCTGATCATACCATATGGCTGTCCTGGTCACCACAACATTTGAATTTGTCTAGATGGGCTATAAAGAACCACTGTCCCAGGCCTCTGAGTATCTGTACCTCCCTGAGCCCAAGTCACCTCCCAGTCCTAAGCCACCTCCCTTACTGTGCTGGGCCCATCCCCTTCCTCACCATCCTCAAAGCTGCAGTTCTCTCCACATTCTGTGGCTTCCTCATCGATGGGATATGCGGTGGTGGTCTCTTCACTCTTTATAGTGGGTCCCAGTGTCTCTACTGTGGGCCTTGAGTCTGTATCAAGGCAAAAGAAGCGAAGAATGTATTTGTAGCCCATATAGAAATCCAGAAGGGGACAGATGCTCAAAACTAAATTTTGTCTCTAAGCAGGGGTGTCTGAGAATGAAAACAAAGATGCATGTGTGCATAACACTGTGGGGTCACCTGTGCCATGGACAAAGCCAGGAGTCTCACCTGCCTGAGTTGAACAGGAAAAATTTAGAGCTGCAGAGCAGATGTGAAGGAGGCATGACCACGAATTCACGCCCTTGGTGTCACAGCACTGAAGGCCTGCCAAGGTTTATGAGGTGGGTCCCCAAGCAGACTGACCTTGCTCTGAGTATCGTGCTTAGGACAGAAGTGTGGGCAGTGCACACACGGGACAGGGATGATGTGCATCAACACTGGTTTGTACAGCTCAGTGTGTAACGAAGCACACCTACTGTGTGGAGAAGGCTTCTGAGTGCTCTAGTCCTGCTGGTCGCTGGTACACCCTCCCTCACACCAACGGATCTCTTTTTGCACCCTTCTCTCAGACAGACCAGACTATTTAGAACTAAAACTAACCCTAAAAAATGCTCTAACCTTTGGAGCCCACCTATAGTAAGACTGTTAAAAGTAGTGCTGCCAAAGCCATAAGCAAAATCCTGCATTTTGGGAAATGGGAGCCCAGACTTTGTGTTTGTACAGAACTGGAGGGATAGGAATATGGGCTTACAGGGACTCCAAGTCTATGTGGGGAGAGTCATTTGGAGCTGTGCCTTTATGTTAGGGGGTGGCAAATTCAAGTGTTTTCCAGATCCAAATAGCTACTGCCAGTTTGGGAGCTAGACTGGGTGGGGACAAGAGTAAGGTGTGGTGGCTGTCAGGCAGCCAGGATCTTGCGGCCTGGTTGAGGGGAGGCCACCGTAACTGGCTCCAGCAGAATGAAGCTTCTCTGTGAAGGAGGCAGCTTAGCCACACAGAGTAGTGCAAAGGAGCATGAAATGGGGAAACTACACACCATGTGACCAGGTCTTCCCCCAAGTTTTTTCCCCGACAAGAAGTTAAAAATCCCCGTGTCAAATCTACAGGCTCATAAATGTTGGCAGCTTGTTCAAAATGTTACAATAAGCACACAATAAAACCTGACAAGGGCAACTCTGGCTGCAGGCAGTTGGTTTTGACCTGGGCTCCAGGTGATTCATCCATCCATTCATTTGCTTATTTGTTCATGCCAGACATTCATTCAGCAATCATTTGGGAAGAGAATGGAGCTATGAGTCAGGTCCTGGGTGGGGTATGAAGAATTCTGGAAACTGGTGCTCAGGCCCGTGTGTTGGGAGTGGTGTCTTCCTCCCACAGCTACGCTCCAATGAGAGGGCCCAGGGAGTCAGTGGATTACTTCTCCCATTTCCATACATGCTTTCTGAGCTACTGCATGGGAGTAGGTGTCTTTGACAGGGACCCTTAGGATACCACTTAACAGAGCTAGGAGCTGAAGTAAACTGCTAAGTATGCTGAATGGCTTTCCATGGTTGACTTCCCACCTTTCTGCTATTAAATACTACACACATAACTTCCACACTTCCCTTTGCCACGTCTGCCTCTTGTTCAAGGTAAATAACAAATAACCTCAAAGCATCCTACTGTGTGAGTTCAATTTGGTCACTGTGTCATAGAATCTTTTTAAAAAATTTATTTATTTTTATTGGATATAGGGTCTCACTACACAGTTCAGATTTGTAGTGATTCTTCTGTCTCAGCCTCCCCAGTGCTGGGATTACAGTGTGCACCACCATCCTGGGTTTCAGGCTGGCACAGTGCCCCCAGGGTTCTAGGTCCAGAACAGCACGTGGTACTGGGGATGGAACCCAGGTCCTGTGCTTGCCAGGCAGGTGCACAGACTGCCGAGCTATCTCCCCAGCTCCACTGGGTCACAGAATCTTAAACTCAACTGTAAAGCCACCTATGGATGGCAAAGGAAAAAGTAATGATTGGAACCAAACAAGCCAATAGGTGAAGAAGCAGTCCCGTTGAACTATTTAGTTGTAGAGCCTCAACCCATCCCACTATTTTTTCTGTTATCTTTTTTTTGGAAAGAATGAAGAAGGGAGTATGAGTTGCAGAAATTGATGGAAATTGGACAAGAAAAAACAAACCCACAGGACCTAAGTGGAAGAGTTTCCAGAAATGTTAGGTAGCAAGATGGGTCAGCTGTTTGGTGGAGATAAAGTTAAATCCAGGGCACTGGAGGCTAGCAAGTTGACAAGAGGGCAAGGTGTGTAAATGAAAGGGGAGAAACAGCGGACAGCCTCTGTACCCATGTATTTGTACTGGTCGTTCTAGAGTAACTGCCCATCATACGGCAGCTTTCCCTCCAAATTGAAACCAGATGTCAGAGGCTTCAAAGGGAAGGAGGCTGGGTGAGAGGTAACCGCCCTAACTCTGATCTTCCCACAGCCAGGCAGGGCTTTGAAATGGGAAACCTGTTACTATCAAGCGCCACCATTTGGGGCAGGTGGAGCACAGAGGACAATTAGAGACAGAGGTCATTAGTAATTGTCCAGCTAGTACTAATTCTGTGCCAGCCCACGAAGAGAAAGAACTGGACAAAGCACTTACAAGTTGGCCCATGCCTAGTTAAGCAACGTCTGGCCTGTGGTATCTCTCTAGGCTCAGTTTCCCTGTCTGTCCAAGAGGATTTATCCTGGCTCTATGATTTATTTTCAAACTGTGTGTCACTCTAGTCAGTAGGTTGTGGAATTGATTTAATGGCTCATGACAAGCATTTAGAAATAGGAACTGTATGATTTGGGAGTGCACCAGGGGTGAGGAGGAACTCTGCTTTGGAGCCTTCTGTTCCTGTTACATTTACCTAGAACAGGTGTGCTAGGCTGTGACCTACAGACCTCACATTTATGTTTTTATGTAATCCTCGTAACAGTCCAACGGATGCAGGCTGACTATTATCATGCCCATCCTTCTGTTGAGACTGAGTCCTCGTCTGAGCTTATACAAGCAGCAACGGCAGGGACTTCAGCCATCTGTGTCTGGAACACAAGTCCTTGACCAGATGCCATACCCCACACATGTAAGTGTGTGGTTCTAAGTGAAGTGAACTGTGGCATTTTAAATTATAGATCATAATAAATACAGTTGGGGCCACTGGCCCAGACTTTCTGTTCTCCTACATTGTGGACTCCTGATTCTAAGGTGGTTATAAGTTGAGCCAGTTCGTATGAGGTAGAACTCAGAACCTGGGAGGCCCTGTGTGTAAGCTGCTGGAAGCCTTGCCTCACCCTGCACAGTGAAAAACAGTGTCTCCCCATAGGATGTCCTCTGGTAGCAGTCTGTGATGTCCAAGTGAGAGGTGCCACCCTGGGCCTGGTTCCTGGGTTATGTCTCACACCAGGGCCCTACTTCACCCTCATAGCTGACTATCGGCAGTGATTTTCTCCTTGGGAGTCAAAAGCACTTCTCAGACATGCCCTTACTAATGTTTCAGGCCATCCTGCTGGGTGAGCTGGTCACAGGTAGAGATTGGGGGTGGGGAGAGGAAATCCAGTCACCTGGGGCCCTGGTGGGGAGGGGCAGGCTGCCTTAGCCTGCTGGTGTCTCCTGCTACTTTGGGCCAAGCTCTGAGATCCAGGTAGCTCAAGAGGGTTGGGCTAGTGAGCTCTGGCATAGATCTAGTGCCAGGCTTGCTGTGGGAGGTGGAGAGAGGTGGGCCCTGACTCAGAAGTCAAGGGAGGGGAGCTTGGCTGGCCATACCCCACGGGGAGAACTACAGGCTCTGATCCAGGCTTGAGCCTCCCGGCCCACCGGGAATGAGCATGCTCAGGCTGCACACTAGGAAGAAGTCCTGTTCCTATAGGCTGTCCTGCACCAGGGCTCTTCCTGCCCAAATAAACACCTTTTACAGATGTGGCTTCGAAATGAAAAGGCAGCCTCTGAGCTACTGACATCTGGAGGCCAGATTCAGACAAACTGATTACTGTATTATCAGGAGGGGTTTTTTCCCTACCCTAAATCAACAGCCATGGCCCTCTGGCCTAAAGAGTCAGAGTCTAATTGAATTTGGGTGGATGGAGTGTGGTTATGATTTGTTTTTGAGAGGGCTTGGGTTGGAGAACTGAAGTGATCCTTTAGAAAAGACAAGGCATATGCTCTGAGAAACTGCCCGAGTCTGGAAGTGTTTGAGAACACTGAGCCATATGTTAATGTCTGCAATCTCCAACTGACAGGGCTTAGTCTACATGGGCGTCCCCACCAGCACCCTGGTCATTCTGGGATGTAGAATCCCAGACCGCAAGACCACACGAGGGACACCTGAAGAGGAAAGCAGCTGTACCTGTCCAGTCACAGCCCAGCACCTCCAGCCGCATCCCAATGCCCGCCGGTGACCACCGCTCTGGATATACACGCACGTACTGGGCAGGGACAGGGTCAAATCTTCGGATGTCGGGGCTGTCGTAGTGCACGTTCCCTTCAAACAGCTGCAGAGACAGGCGGCTCAGCCTTTTGCTGTATATGATCCCTCCTCACCTGCCACCCATGCCACTGTGTCCCACCCAGAGAGTAAGTTCATGGTGGAACTCATGGGACATTGCTGCCCATGGGAATTCCACACTACACTTAGTGAGCTCCACTAACTTGGTCTATAGTTCCTAGTTCACTGAAAGAATAAAGGGAAACTAACTGCCCTTTTTGCCAGGCTGAGGACTGATTCCTCTGATCACACACTGATGGCTGAGAGTTATCTCAAGCCTTTGTTTATTATTCTATCAGAAACCTCAGTAGAGTCCCACCGGGCTGCCCTGGTTGAAGTTGGTGGCCTTTGGATCGCCCTCCAGGAATATAGCAGGGCCAGTGGGTAAAATGCCTGGATCCCCAGCTCCACAACAGGGGCAGGACAGGCTCTGATTGTAGCCAAGATCACCTCCTTTTCTAAGGAATCAACTCTCCTGGGGAAGAATCAACTCTCCCGGGGAAGCAAGTGGCCCAACTTCTATTCCACTCACCAGAGGTTCTAGTTACCAAGCCCTGAGCCTCTCCAAGCCTCTGGAATTGCGAATTAGTAGTTTACATCTGCATGACAAAGCTTCTGACTCAGCCCTGGCTTCTGCATTTGGGATGGAAACTTTTGCTTAGCTAAGGTGGCTGACCAGAGACACACAATACCCCTTGCCTTTTTAGGAGATTTGCTCTTCTGAAGATGAGAGGTCGTTTCAGAAGGAGCATTAGAGAGGCTGGCCAAATTCATTAGTAACAAATCTAAAGAAGGATGGAGGAGTGAGGTCCTCTCCCCTCCTGAGGGCTCCACACGCCCTGGTTGAAGGCTGGCTTCTCTTGTCTGATCACAAGGGTGGGCTTAAGTGTTTCTCTTTCTTCTTCCCAATCTCAATACGAGATGCAGGAAAGACCTAAGAAGCCATGACTAGGAAAATACAAAGGGATAGGGATGCAGTAACATTCAGAAAAGGTTATTTTTGGAAGTAAACCTCTAGCTTCTACAGTTTGGGCTCCAGCAACCATATCTCCTTGGGATGGTTGGCCAACTTCAAGGAAATTTCATCTGCAAGAGGGTGAAAAGGATCTTGAATTTTACAAACAGGCAGCGTGGAGTAGTGGCTAGGAATCTGGGTTCTGGAATGAGATTTATGGTTTCTGAATCATGGCTTTGGCTCCTGGTAAACCTGTGACCCTGAATATCATATCAAATCTCGGTTTTGTCATGTCTAAAACTGGAATGACAAAAGGGTTGACCTCATAGAGGTGTTGTGGGACCGAAGGTCTAAATAAGGTATAGATGTGTTAAGCACAAGCAATCTCTTAACCCACACTGTGATGCAAGAATTTGATGAGGGCCTATCAGGATGCAAATCAGCATGCTCACACTCTCTGTACCCAGTAAGCCTTCCTGGTAAGGCAGTATTAGCACCCTCTAGGGATGGTCTACCTTTGGTTGCTGGGTCCTGGGATCTGGGATATATTCCCAGTCTTTGCCATTCAGGCTGTAGGAGACTTTAAACTTGCGCACGAAGGCCCTGGCTTCCACTGCTGTGCTGCTGTCTCCTCCACGGGCCCCCTGGATGATGACGCCTTTCACCGTCTTGGGTGCTCCCAGGTCCACCTGTAGCCACTCTTCACCTGGCTGCGCCTGAGGGATCCGAGGGAACCAGCCTGAACGGCTGCTGACCAGGCGCGCTGTGCTGGGGCTCCAGAGGTACTCGCGGGTGGAGGAGGCAGAGATCTGGGAGTCGGGAATGAGGCCTGAGAGCATCCCCAGCATGTTGGAGCAGGGGGCATCTGCAGGGAAGAAAGGAAGATGCCATTCATGGCTGGTTCTTACTGATTGGACACCACTCCTTGGTGGGAGGCTGCAGGAGGAACCCCCTGGAAAATTGCCTTGGTCAGCACTGATTTCCTGGCAACACTTTGCACAGCGTCTTGGTTCAGAGCCTGAACCGGGGGCTCTGAACATCTTTCTCATGCCGCCAGTCCTTTCCCAGTCCTCACTGACTCTTGCAGTGACAGCCAGGGGAGAGAAGTGCCGCTCAGTAAGGTCATCAGGCAGAGGAGACCCGTGTGGGGTCAGTGTCCGGTCTTTCCTTCCACATGAGTTAGCGTATTTTTTGGTTTCCCACAGGCTCTTGCCACTACTCCAAAAGCACTTCTGCTCCATCATCTGTTGACTAACCTTTAGTCACCCCAAGGTATAAATATCATCATATCCTTAGAAAGGCTGTCCCCAAACTTTCAATCCTAGTAAATTAGAGCCTCTCAGGAATCCTTCTCAGCTTTAACTAAATCCCTGCTAATTAGCCTTTGCTGGCCTGGAGCATCCTCATAGAAGGGAGGCAAAAGAGGCCTCTAGGTAGGATTAGGATGGCCTGCACCCCTGGGGAGAAGCCCGGTCTTTGTATAAAGGTGATAACAGGGAATTTGCGTGGAGAAAATACACATGGAGGTCCTGCCTTGTCACTCCTCGCTGGGTGCTCTGGGCCAGGTGTTTTGGTTTCTGCATCAGCCCCTGCCCCCACTTGATTGCTAGAGTGAGTGGGCAAGACAGTGTACAAGGAAGAGGGGCAGTGAAGCAGACACTGTCCACAGGCAGTGGGCTATGCCCTGGACCAGGATGGGGACAGGTGGAGGGAGGGACACAGTACACCCTCCCATGACAAAGAAGCAGAGCCCACAGGATGGAGCGGATTGTGCTGTCCACCAAAAGCTGGCACTGGTCTATCCACCAGCGCCTCTTGTCAGCAGCACAGTGCCAGCCTTGCAGAGGCTCCACTCTCACCCTCTCCAGGCTGTGGACTTCAGCCCACACAACATGCTGCTTTCCTGCCACATGCACTCCCTCCTCCTCAACTCAGTGCCATCCAGCCAGCTGTGGCCACTGCCCAGTGCCTTTCCCTACCTGTAACTGGGCAATGCCTGTCTGCCCTCTGCCCTGACTTAGTATCTCCTCAAGGAAGTCCTCCAGCACCCCAGGGCAGGTCAGCTGTCCTGAGGCACAGGTCCAGGTTCCCAGATGGCACAGTTTTGATTTTGCACATAATGATGAGATTGCCTGTTCACTAATTTGTCTACCCATCAGCCCATGCTTCCACAGTTGGCCTGTTGTGTTTGTCATTGTACCCACAGGACTGTGTGTAGCTCTTAGACCCCAGTCAAGGCATCAGAGAGAGCTATTTCAAGGTCACAAGCTTTGGGCTCAAATCTGGTTCACCACTTAGTGGTGAGGTGAGGCATTCTTCCAACTCTTAATTTTGTCACCTGTAAAATGAAGAGGATAATAATACTTGCCTCAGACAGTCCTTATGAGGATAAAAGCTAAGACACCTTAGGTGAGACTGGAAACTGACATGTAGTTCGCAGATCATAAACTTTAGTTAGTAGAAATAGTAAGTGCCTACTAAAAGCATACTGGCTGCTCCCAGCTCTCTGGGAAGCTGAGGCAGACTTGATCCCAGCTTCAGTAACTCAGTGATTTAGCAAGACCCTGTCTCAAAGAAAAAATACAAAAATGGCTAGATGTTAGCTCAGTGCAAAGGCCCTGAGTTCAATTTCTTGTACTGAAAGGAAACAAGAAGAAACAAATCAATAACAACAACGACATACATACAGGATGAATGAATGAATGAATGAATGAATGAATGAATGAATGAATGAAAAGATAAAGCCAGAAGGGACTTGAGTCCTGAAGCAGTCCTTCTGGGAAGAACACAGGATGCTGCGTTTCCTGGGAGAGGGAGCAGAGCTCTGGACAGAAGCAGCTCCAGGGTCTGTGGGGCACCTGTCTTACCTGTGACCCGGCAGCCGAAGAGCTCCAGGCGCAGGGCGATGCCCGAGTGCCAGCTCTGCGGGCGGATCCGGACGAACCTCGTGAGCAGTGGTGTGTGCAGCTTGTTCAGAACCACCTCGGAGGCATCACTGTTGGCCTGGAACACCTGGAGATGCAGCAGAACATGGTACTGGGACTTGCCATGACCCCTGCATGTAGGGCAGGGACTCTAGCTGCCTCGGAAGGGGCAGGAAAGTTCTCTTCAAGCTTGCAAACTAACCAGTGGGCTTGTTATTCAGGGCTTTTCCAGAAGCACTGTGAAAACATTTTAATTTCTCATAATGCTCCAACTTGAAAACAATAAATGGTCCTCATAAAAACTTTTGGAGGGAAGAAAATTTTTGCCTCTCGGCTGAAAGCAAGCAGAGGCAGAAGCCTTGGAAAAGAAAACATTTCAGAAGTGAATGAAGGAAGAAAGGACAAAACAGAATGCCCATTTAAAAGGACATGTTATCTTTTAGAGCTTGTAGAGCTCTCTCTGTTGAGCTTGACACCCCCTGGCAGGCATATAGGGATTCTTGAAGAGCATTTTTATAATGTTAAAAGTGCTTCCCATTCATTTTTTTTGATTCTTTATTTCTTTGAATAAATTTATTTGGACACTTTCCCACTCCACTAGCTAGCAGCGAGGTGGTGAGGGCCTCCATTCACCCCCATGCCCTATGTCAACCAGGGTGTTCCTGGTTCTCTCTGGTCTTTGATTTAGGGTCAGGATTTCGAGACTCTCTCAAGAGTTCTCCATCTTCCTCTCACTGTGGTTGCCGCCCTGCAATGAAATCCATCCCTCCCCAGTTGACCAAAACATCTCTCCTGGGAGCAAAGGCTTTTTGGAGTGGTTTCTGATCCAAATGGTAGGCATAAGTCCCGACTTACCAGATGGCCCAAATCAATAACTGCCACATGAACCTTAGGCTTTTTTGTACTCTCCGTTAAAAAAAAAAAACAAAAAAAAAACAGAGAAAGTATACATGAATTTCCCTAATAAAAGGGAAAAACCCCAATGATAATTTCTAAATCATACCTATCACAGATACAACCAAAGTACCTTAAGTAAGTCTACTCGCAACCAACTCTGCCTTTACCTCCTGTTGAGGGGGAACCAAATGCTTCCACTTGATACCCAGGCTACACCAAGTGTTTGGGACACTGGCTGGGTGGGGAAAAGGGGAAGGGGGACACAGGTATATCTGAGTATCTTTGCGCCAGAAGGTACACTACTCTAATCCCCTGGGAGAGAAGTACTACTATCTCTACTTTATTGATAAAGAAACCGAGGCTGGACCCTTGGCCTGATGCTTGCAGCTTTTTAGGTTGACTCTTAACTGTTAATAAATTTGCATCATTTATGTAATTGGCTAGGAGCCACAGTGTCCATAAGGTCCCCAATCATGGGCAGAATGGAAGTCAAGTTGCATAATCCCACCACGGAAGCAGAGAGCTCTTGAGATGTTCTCAATGTGGACCTTTCTCCATGAACCCTAAATACCACCATTTGGCAACTTTGAACCCTCAAAGATAGGTGCCTGCAGGTCCACCATTGTTTAAATCATTGTTCTTTGTGCTAAGCCTCCCAAGGTTAGGGTGCACCAACATAGCCTACCCTGCTTGCCGCTGCCTCTGCTTCCTGGGGAGCACCCCACTCTGATACCAGGCTATAGTGTCCCCTCAGCAGCCATGCCAGGAGCAGGAAGCATGGGGCAAGGAGTCCTCTCCCAGCTTCCATTCTCCTGCTGAGGAGGAATGAGAAGGCCAAGTCATGGTGGAGGGACAAGGGCCAGCCATGCAGAGGGCAGGAGTGTTGGAGCCACAGCCCTGGGAGGAGGCCTGCGGGGAAAGGTTGTGGCCTACACCATGCTTCTCCTGGACAGTAGTGACCACTGGAGGAGGCATGAAGCCCAGCAACGTCCTGGCCTTGTCACTCCAATTTCTGGCCTCCTTTGTATGGACAAAGTGCTCCCTAGCTTTGAGGAAAGGAACAGAGCAATTGCGTCCAATAAAAGAGATGAATTCAGCCCTCCTAGAATCCAGAATGGGACAGAGCCTTTTTTGTTTGTTTTGCTTTGTTTTGGCAAGAGACACATGCAGCACTTTGCTGACTTTGGACGGGTGCTGAGAGCAGTGGGGCCACCTCTGGATACTCCCTGGATGGGAGGGTAATGGGGGGGGGGTGGTTCTGGTAGGAGACACCAAGCAGCTCCTATCAGGGAAAAAGTTTTATTTGCCACATGGATATCTAATTGGAGAGCTGAGTGAATCTGAACTTGCTTATTACTACTAATCCAAAGCGTACACATCACGCTGGTACTGTTTAGAAACACAGCACGCTTTATGTGTTTTTAATATCCAATTTTATCTTATCTGACCTCTTCATTTCTCAGCCTTGACAGTGAACACCCAGTTATTTTCTCCTTTGCTTCTTCCTTAAGGAATTGATTGTACATCTGAATAGCCCTTGTGAGAAGGCTGGGGGGCACCTTTGGAGAGACTGGTCTGCCTGTGCTTAGGTGTGGCCACAGGTTTCAAGCCCTAGGTCCTTGCCCATGGGGCACCAGTCACAGAGGATGTAAGCTCCACTGTTCTCTCACAGATGTCTGCCTGAAGCTCATTCTGAAATTCTACTTCGCTCACTCCCCCACCTCAGGATCAAATAAAGACTTTTGAAACTTGGTTTCGAGCTGTTCTTCACGTTTCTGAGTCTAGCTCCTCACTGTTTTCTGGTTTGCACTTGATCTCATGTTCAGCCTGCCCTCTGTGCCTCACACACCTGAATGAATGATACCACTCTCAGAATTTCCATGCAGCTTCTGCTCTGAGTATGGCAGAGTAGATCAAAAGCAAAGCCCAGCAGCACACTGTGACCCATCACTGAATCAGGAACCTGCAGCCAGGCTTTGCTGATAATTAGCTCATATGGAGGGCAAATATCCCTACACCCTTGAGGTGCCGATTTCCCTCTCTGATGAGTGAAGAGCTTGGGATCTGTCCTCTGGCTTCTCCCATCTCTCTTCACAAGAGTTTCTGTGGTTTGAACTGTTCCAGGAGTGCCCACTTTATATTATATGTGCTGCTGAAGCAAACATAAGCTTTTCTAAGAGGATATTTTAGTTACCTATTGTCCCTTGTAGACTAAGTGCTCTTGTAAGCGAGTGCTGTGGATTTTTAATACACTTCAGCTACTGCCTAGAATGCACAGTGAGTGCCCCATTCAGAGAACATACCTTGTTGGTATGTTGGCTCAATAACAATTCAAATTATTAATAACCATAAGTAATGAATAACATCGCCTCAGTCCTTACTGACTGTCTTTCACCCAAAGATATCAAAGTGCAGTTTATGAAAATCCATTCTAATGAAATATTAAGTAGTTCCTATTTCTCCTGACCCAATGGGTTTACAAGGTCTCTATTTTCCTCCCTGCATCCCCCTATTTATAGATGGTAAATGCTATCATATATTATACATCTTTATGACTTTCTCAATGCTTCTGTGGTTTTAGAATCACCTTTCATTTGTTTTCTGATCAAATTCCCTGTGATGGAATCTTGGCTTCCAGTCTGGACGATGCAAGGTAAGGGGCTGAATGCATGGGGAAACCATGCCAGGAAATTGGTTTATTGTCTACTCTCTGCCGACTCACTGAATGACTACAGGCAAATCAATAAACCTTAGATACTATGGTTTCTCCTTCAAGAAAATAAAGTCGATAATCAGGTTGCAGATAGACATGAAGTTTACCAGCTCTCTCGGCTGGCTCCAGCGCTTGTATAGGAGTCAGGCCAAATGCTGGAGCAGAAGCCAGGTCACAAGTAATAAATGGGCCTTTAGACAACCAGGAGAGTTCAAGCTCAGACACCCATAGACCCCCGGGGTCCCACCTTGAGATCACACACTATCAGGCTGTAGTGACTCTGCCAGGATATGTGCATAGAACTCATAATACATGTCAGGCTGTGCTGATATGTATTAAACCCAGACAGACATATATCAGAAACAATGATTGACTCTTAACATCTACATTAAAAGCTGGAAGTTGGAGTTGACTTTTTTTATGCATTTAACAAAAGATATTAATACAGTTGCTTTACTACCCAAAAGAAAAACAAGGATTATATTCAAGGTGACTCCATCTTTCTGGGGAGATTGACGATCACATACTTTTTAAATGTGTGCATGCCTGTGTTTTGTTTTTTGTTTTTTTAAAAGAAGCTATGTTGAACAAAAGATTTCTTCAAACGCATCTCTCCAAACCAGGATGAAAAAACAATTCAGGGCACACAGTGGTTTGGATAAGCCATTTGGTCCCTCACTGAATTCTGAACATAATCCAACAATTTCCAGTTGATTCTCAAGACCTTTGTTTCATTTTCAGTAAGTCAGAATCCAAAACCCAGCAGAGTTCCATGGATTTTCTGATTTGCACCTCTGGGGGAGGAGGCATCTGCCAAGCAAACCGGCTGCTGTCTGACATCCCAGTTCGTTCATCGTCTACCGCCCACCCCAAGGAAGGATAATCAGAGTGTGCTGACCATGCCCAACGATCGACAGGCTCTGACCGCACAGACTGTGCGAGGTAGTGTCAAATAAACATGCGTTTCTTCTACAGAAGATAAGGAATATCTAGTGAGCAACCATCACTGATGTTTTCTGAGGCCATTGTCCCCCTTCTTGTCCAGGTTTGGTTGCAGACACCTCTCTTGTGGAGTCCTCCGCTCCGCATGTCTTTGAGGAACACACTGGGACTCTGACCCTGCTGGGCACAGTGCGCGGCCTGCCCAGGCCCTGGGTGGGAGCTCTCTGCATGGTCTCAGCCCCTCTCCTGTCCACCACTAGTCTTCTTTTAAGGATACTTCTGCATTTATTGCACTCAATGTTAAACAGGTGATATTTACATTATTCCTAGAAAATACATTGACACTGCCTAACACAACACATACTTGGAAAGACACAACTCATTTGCTTAGATATTTCGAATTAGAAAGTATTTGAAATTGATCACAGTGTAATGAATCCTCAATTGCAAGTTCTAGAGATAATTATTTACAAAAATCCAGTAAAACTTAATTCAGTAGTCCATGAGTTCTGTACCACTCTTAAATTTCTCTATAG